CCAACAAAGAACAGGTCCCTCTGAGTGAATAAATGGAGTGCGGCCGATCATTTAAATTGGCTTCCAGTGTAATTTCTAGCACAGTCGGGAATACTTAGTAAATGTTGTGCAAAAGCAGAATCTCATCTAATCCTTGCTGCACCCCCTGACCAATCAGTGTCAACTTGCTTGGTTTGAATTTAATCAATTAATTCAGAGAATTCACAGTTCCTGCTGCAAATCTACACCAAGTATATAATCAAACCAATCAGCACCCGACTTCTCATGCTTCACCATTTCTGTTTCTTTCCCAAACGTGGGTTTTCTCGCATTTTAGTTCTGGTGACTGTAAGACAACAAGCCTCGATTTCATGTCTCCTCTTAACAGTGTTTTTAAGTTCTGGACTGCTTAGAATCATTTCATTTAAGACCTTCACATCAGCACCTCATGCAGTCTCTCATCTCATTGGAATGGGATTGCATTCAAGCCCAAAGCCCAGAGGCAGAGGGGTAGCTCTCTATATGACCGCAGAACCCAGGCTCCAAGTGATTCCCTCCAAAATATTTCGATGAGCTGTGATTATTTTTGACAACATTACCCAGTCCTGTTATTAGGAGATATCGTTCTATTAAAAAATTACATATTTTAGATTCCATGAAGATTATGTGACATTTATTAAAGTGCCACTTATTTCAGCTCTCTAATTAGTCTTTGAATTATGCAGTGTTAAATGAAATGAGAAAATGAGAAAACCTGGCCAATTATGTTGGTTTTTTGGAGGTTATTAAATTGAGTTGGTTAAGGAATAAAGTTCAGCATCCATTTCTTTTATATCCGCGTGCCATTCTTTTTCTCAAACCTTCGTCTTTATTTTTAATGCCTATTCTCTCCTGCAGAGGGAGGGATGGATAAGCTATCAAAAGCTGCAGGGGGGAGTCTGAATGTTGCTCCTCTCCATTGTGTGGGGCCCTCTCCAGTGATGAAACTGGCACGAAAGGGCAATGTCTTTGCTGCTGAAGAACTGGCCAATGTATCCAAGTATGTGCCTCATCTGGTTTATGGAGCTGAGATATTTGTGTGGGTGTTACCTGTGGCACAGTGGATAGAACTCTTGTCTCTGGCTCAGGAAGTTGTAGGTGTGGGTCCCAATCCAGATTGATCTTGGTGGGGTTGGGGGGGAGGAATTGTGACACGGTGGCTCAGTGGTTAGCATTGCTGCCTCACAGTGCCAGGGACCTGGGTTCAATTCCATCCTTGGGTGACTATCTGTATGGAGTTTGCACGTTCTCCCTGTATCTGTGTGGGTTTCCTCACACAGTCCAAAGGTGTGCAGGTTAGCCATGTAAAATTGTCCTGTAGTGTCAAGGGATGTGCAGGCTAGGTGGATTGGGGACAGGGGACAGGGGACAGGGGACAGGGGACAGGGGACAGGGTCTGGGTAGGATGCTTTTTGGAGGGTCAGTGTGGACTTGATGGGCCAGATGAAAATGGCAAGAAAGGGCCGAATGGCCTGCTTCCACACTGTAGGGATTCTGTGATTCCAGGGACTTGTACACAAAATTGAGGCTCATGTGCCAAGGGAGTACTGTCCATGTGACATTAAAACCAAGGCCCCGTTTGTCACCCCAGTTGGCATTTTCCCCAAGAAAAGGAGTTTTTTCGAATGTTCTGGCTTGATACTTATCTGTCTACTATGATGACCGAAAGCAGATTATCCGCTCACGATGACATTGAGGGCACTGACTGTGCTCAGTTGGTTGCTGCGTTTCCTGCATTTAACAACCCCCACAGAATTATTTGCACAATTTTCACACCTGGATATGGCAGCATGTGGTATTGCCAAACAATGTGTGGTGAGCTGAAAGAGCTCAGCAAGTATGTGTCGGGAAAGTCAAAAATCGACACCCTACTTTTTGGCAAATTCTGATAGGCACTAATTTTTAGCTCCCTTCACGCACACAAGTGCAGCTTGTAGCGACATTTGGAAGCACAGATCTCTTTTTCCTACAAGGGATCAGCACATGGGAACTTGAAAAGTGAAAATATATAATCATGAGATATGCTCAGCGATTGTTTCACTCATTCACGAGATGTAAGCATCACTGACAAGACCAACATTTATTGCCCATCCATAATCATGCTTAAGAATGTGGATGGCCACTGTCTTGAATACAATGGAGTAGATTGCTGAACCATTTTAGAGGGCAGTTAAGGGTCAATATTGCTGTGGGTCTGGAGTCAGATCTGATAAGGACAGCAGATTGCCTTCCCAAAAGGATATTAGTGTACTGGGTACTACATAGTCTTACAATCAGAGAATCATAGAATTCCTACAGTGTGGAAGCAGGCCATTTGGCCCATTGAGTCCACACTGACCCTCTGAAGGGTATGCCACGCAGACCCACCACGCTGCCCTATCCCTGCAACCCTGCATTTCCCATGGCTAACCCCCCTGGCCTGCATATCCCTGGGCACTACGGGACAATTTCCCACGGCCAATCCACCCTAACCCGCACATCCCTGGGCACTATGGGGCAATTTAGCACGGCCAATCCACCCTAACCCGCACATCTCTGGGCACTATGGGGCAATTTAGCACGGCCAATCCACCCTAACCCGCACATCTCTGGGCAATTTAGCATGGCCAATCCACCCTAACCTGCACATCCCTGGACACTATGGGACAATTTAGCACGGCCAATCCACCCTAACCTGCACATCCCTGGGCACGATGGGACAATTTAGCACGGCCAATCCACCTAACCTGCACATCTTTGGATGTGGGAGGAAACCGGAGCACCCGGAGGAAACCCACGCAGACACAGGGAGAACATGCAAACTTCACACAGTCACCCAAGGGTGGAATTGAACCCAGGCGCTGTCAGTGCTAATGCCATCATGATATCACAATACCTCCAGAAAGGAAGAAGAAGTCAATTCTGAGGAGGAAAAGGCAGGTTAATCATATTGACACTTACCACAAAGCAGTCAGGCATTTTCTCAAGATCTGAAGCAGTTGATTTCGATGTCAAGACTAACCCATGCCAAGATCAAATGAGTTAAAAGTGTACAAGTTAAAATATTTTGCCTGCATTCCACTGATTTGCAGCACAGTGTGTGCACATCTTAAATATACCTGTCCATAGCTCTGTCCTCCTGATGCTCAAGGCTGCGCAGAGCTAGCGGTGTAGCCAAAAGTTGGAAGCAGAAGTTGTAAAGGTGCCTTGGTTCCTCTCTATTTAGCTTTTGTTCAGCGCAGATTTTAATGGGTCAAATCAGTTTCCATTTTTGTGATACTGAGTGAAACAAAAATGTTCCTAAACCACTCGAGCAAGCAGTAACTTGTGTGTGTGTGTGTAGAGACCACGGCATCTTTCGAGCCTGAGCCATCAGAGTACTGCCCCTTTGAGGCCTGCTTTTAAACCAATGGATAATAAGTGTTTGAAATGGATTAACAAGAATGCTCATTCTGTGCACTGCTGCCAATAGAGGCAGCCCAGCATTAATATCATGAGCGCTGTCGATCCCCTTTTTAAGTGTCTTTGTCTGATAATAGTCAGGGATGAGTCTGATGCTTGGTTTCATTTATCATGAAGTCAAATAATTTTTCATGAACTGCTGGGGCATGACTGACTGCTGGAATGCAGAAAGGGCACCCAGTTTTTGAAAGTTCATTTCTCTTTTGATAATTGCATTTCATCTTGTACCTTTTTTCCCTAGCTACAGTGACTGGCAGAGATCTTGCGTACATCAGATTTAATGTGCTCATGCAAGAACTGCCTCTCTCAATGATCCACTTACCATGCGAAATGAGTGAGTTTTCAATTAATTTTGTCTGTGTGTTGGCTGTCCACCCCAATCTACAAGGGTTTCTAGCAGTGCAGTGGTCATGTCCCTGCTTCTAGGAGGCAGAAGACCCGGGTTTGAGCCCTGCCTGTTTAAGTAGTGTGTTACGATGTGTCTGGAAGGTTGATTCAACATAATTGCAAAGGTTTGAGTGCCTGTCCCTTTTGACAGGAAGCTCAAAATGACTGCACGACAACAATACCTCAATTTTAAAATGATCATCATTGTTTTCCAATCCCTTCACCTCCTCCCTGTCTCTGTAACCTCCTCCAGTCCCACAACCCTTTAAGATATCAGGCCTTCTCCAGCTTTGGCCTCTTCGCGTCCCCGATTTTAATCACTCTTGCTATAACTGAGTCTTCAACCGTCTTGAATTTCAGCTTTGGAATTCTGTCTCAAAACTTTTCCCCTCTTTCTCTCCCCGCTTTCATTGCCTCCTTCTAACCTGCGTTTTGGAGCAAGATTTGGGCAACTATTCGCAAATCCCTTTATGTGGATTCTCCTTCTGAACCTCTGCCTGAGCTGTGGTGACCCTCAGGTTAAACCACCACCAGTCAGCCCTTTGCCTTTTATCTCTTTTGTTTGACTGTTGCTCCTGCAAAGCATCTGGGGAATTTTTACTACATTAAAGACACTGTATAAATGCAAGTTGTTGATGTTGGTATCAGTCAGCAAAGGTGAATACAGGACAGCATTATTGATAACAACCAGTCACTGTGAGTTACCTAGCAACGTGAAGCTGTTCTCAATAAGGCCAGTTACATATTTTGATCATAACTACACTTATGGCTTGAAATAAATTTAGTCCAGCTCGCTTAAGATCATTGGGCTGAGGAATATTAGGGTAAATGCAGTGATCACAGCAAGTACATTACAGGAAAGTGAATTTTCTGCCAGTTAATTTTCACAGGCAGAGCTTCAAAGGCAGTGTATATATGTGATTTGTTAGAATTAGCTCCCTTTATTTTGAAATAGTCCTTGAGGTTGTCATATCATCTAAAGATTCTGTCACTACATCTTCAATTCTGACAGAGGGGCATTCCAAGCGTCGTTAAGGTAGAAGCTGGTATGTGTTGCACCCATTTCAGAAGTGCAACTGTGTACATTTTGGCATGGGATTTTGTAAGCTGTTTGCCGTTCCAATGTCTAATGCGAGCTATTTTGTTTCCTGTAGGTGTTCACGAGGTATGGCAAGTGCTACACTTTTAACTCCGGGCAGACTAAAGACCAACCAATCCTGACAACAATGAAAGGAGGAACTGGGAATGGTCTGGAACTGATGCTGGACATTCAGCAGGATGATTACCTTCCTGTCTGGGGTGAAACAGGTACCGCCTATTTGATCCAAGAATCGTAGAAGCTGCATGCAGTGGAGGTTATTGCTGTATGTTTTGGTGTATCCAGTCTATTATGCAAGTTTCTGCCATATTGTGGCAGCTAGATGTCACCAGTTCACATTATAAAGAAAAAAAAATGTATAAGGAACATACTATGAGCCACTTGTGATGCTCTAATGATATCACTTGATTTAAAATGAATGTTAAATGTTGGGATAATTAGTCCATCCGAATTGAGAGAGCCTCTCTCTTTTATTTGTGCATAAGACCATAAGAAACAGGAACTGGAGCAGGCTGTTTGGCCCCCGAGCCTGCTCCACCGTTCAGTAGGATCATGGCCACTTTTCTGTCCTTTCCCGTAACCCTTGATTCACCCGACTGATCAAGAATCTATCTATGTCAGCCTAAAATATACAGAAGGACTCGCAGCTCTGTGGCAAGGAGTTCCAAAAACTTCAAGCCTCAGCGAGAGGAAATTCCTCCTCATCCCGGTCTTACATTGGTGTCTCTGTATTCTGAGATTATGCCCTCTGGGCCTAGACTCTCCCATGAGGTGAAACATTCTCTCAGCACTGACCCTATCAAGGCCCTTAAGAATCTTATATGTTTCAATGAGATCACCTCTCAATCTTCATAGGAAGGCAGGCATTAGTTCAGGATCTTGTTAAATGGCAGAGTAGGCATGGGGGATGGAATGGCCTACTCCTGCCCCCAATTCATATGATTTTATGATCTTGTAAAGTACAGCCAAATCCCTGACATAGACTCAGGCTCAGGCTGCTAGTTAGGCAGAGACTGGGGCTTGAGAGCAGAACCTTCCTAACCTTAAAAGAGCTGCGGTCTGAAGTCTGTTTTTATTTATTCACTTTTGGGACGTGGGCGTTGCTGACTGGGCCAGCATTTATTTCCAATTCCTAATTGGTGGTGGTGAGCTGCCTTCTTGAACTGCTGTAGACCATGTTCTGTAGGTTGAACCTTAGAGAGGGAATTCCAGGCTTTTGACCCAGCGACAGTGAAGGAACAGCAATATGTTTCCAAATCAGGACAGTCAGTGGCTTGGAGGGGAACCTGAAGGGGGCGGTGTTCCCATGTGTCTGCTGTCCTTCTCCTTCTAGATGGAAGTGGTCGTGGGTTTGGAAGGTGCTGTCTGAGGATCTTTGGTGAATTTCTGCAGTGCATCTTGTGGATGGTACACACTGCTGCTACTGAGCGTCGGTGGTGGAGGGAGTGGATACTTGTGGATGTGGTGCCAATCAAGCGGGGGCTGCTTTATCCAGTATAGTGGGTCAAGCTTTTTGGGTGTTGTTGGGGCTGTACCCATCCAGGCAAGTGGGGAGTATTCCATCACACTCCTGACTTGTGCCTTGTAGATGGTGGACAGGCTTTGGCGAGTCAGGAGGTGAGTTACTCGCTACAGTGTTCCTAGCCTCTGACCTGCTCCTGTAGTCACTGTGTTTATGTGGTGAGTCCAGTGACTTCCTGGTCAATGATAACCCCCAGGATGTTGATAGTGGGGGATTCAGTGATAGTAACACCATTGAATGTCAAGGGGTGGTGGTTAGATTGTCTCTTATTGGAGATGGTCATAGCCTAGCATTTCTGTGGCACGAATATTATTTGGCGTTTATCAGCCCAAGCCTGGATATTGTTTAGATCTTGTTGCATTTGGACACGGACTGCTTCAGTATCTGAGGAGTCACGAATGGTGCTGAACATTGTGCAATCATCGGCAAACATCCCCACTTCTGACCTTATGATGGAGGGAAGGTCATTGATGAAGCAGCTGAAGATGGTTGGGCCTAGGACACTACCCTGTGGAAATCTGACAACCACGAATATCTACCTTTATGCCAGGTATGACTCCAACCAGTGGAGATTTTGTCCCCTGATGCCCATTGATTCCGGTTTTGCTAGGGCTCCTTGATGCCACACTCAGTCGAATGCAGCCTTGATATCAAGGGCTGTCACTCTCACCTCACCTCTGGAATTCAGCTCTTTTGTCCATGTTTGAACCAAGGCTGTAATGAGGTCAAGAGCTGACTGGCCCTGACAGAACCCAAACTGGGCATCACTGAACAGATTCATAGATAGAATCATACGATCCCTACAGTGTATAAAGAGGCCATTTGGCCCATCGAGACTGCACCGACCCGCCCGAAGAGCATCCCACCCAGACTCCCACCCTATCTCCATAACCCAGCATTTACCACCACTAATCCACACAGCCTGCACATCCCTGAACATAATGGGACGATTTAGCACGGCCAATCCACCTTGCCTGCACATCGCTGAACACTATGGGACAATTTCCCATGGCCAATCCACTCTAAGCTGCACATCCCTGGGCACTACGGGGCAATTTCCCACGGCCAATCCACCCTAACCTGCACATCCCTGAACACTATGGGACAATTTAGCACGGTCAATCCACCCTAACCTGCACATCTCTGGACACTATGGGACAATCCACCCTAACCTGCACATCCCTGGACACTATGGGGCAATCCACCCTAACCTGCACATCCCTGGACACAATGGGGCAATCCACCCTAACCTGCACATCCCTGGACACTATGGGGCAATCCACCCTCACCTGCACATCCCTGAACACTATGGGACAATTTAGCACGGCCAATCCACGCTGGCCTGCACATCTTTGGACTGTGAGAGGAAACCGGAGCACCTGGAGGAAACCCACGCAGACATGGGGAGAAAGTGGAAACTCCACACAGACAGTCGCCCGAGGCTGAGATTGAAACCCATGTCCCTGGCGCCATGAGTGGGCACCGGGCCTCCCTTATTGCTGTGGTTCTTTCTGTGTAGGTGCTATGTGATAGCACTGTTGATGACCCTTTCCATTTGAAGGGTGTGCTCAGACAAGTTGTCGGTGGATTTTCCCGTGGTGGTACCGTGGTGCTGACTCAAAGTGGAGAGGATCTCCAAGTAGATCACGCATGTCAACACAGACACCAAGTTTCTACAGCAATGCAAGAAAGCACAAAAGATCCCAAAAGGACTGCAGATCACGAACCCACTCAAGTCGACCTGCAACACTGATTATGCTGAGAGACTTTGCCGTCGCACCTCTCGCAAATGGACCCAGTCGAACCAGGAACATTCCTCGTCACAATGGACGTTTCAGCACTCTACACCAGCATCCCCCACGATGACAGCATCGCCACAACAGCCTCAGTACTCAATACCACCAACTGCCAATTTCCCGATGCCATCCTCCAACTCATCCACTTCATCCTCGACCACAACATCTTCACCTGCGACAAGCGGTTCTTCATCCAGACACACAGAACAGCCATGGGGTCCCGATTCACTCTCCAATATGCCAATATTTTCGTGCGCAAGGTCGAACAAGACTTCTTTGCTGCACAGGACCTCCGCCCAACACTATACACCAGATACATTGATGACATTTTCTTCCTTTGGACTCATGGCGAGGAATCACTGAAATAACTACATAGTGATATCCACAAGTTTCATCCCACAATCAGACTTACCATGGACTACACTTTAGAATCAGTCTCATTCTTGAACGCTTGTATCTCCATCAGGGACGGACACCTCAGTACCTCACTCTACCGCAAGCCCACAGATAACCTCATGATGCTGCACTTCTCTAGCTTCCACCCGAAACATATTAAAACAGTCATCCCCTACAGACCGGCCCTACACATACACAGGATCTGCTTGGATGAGGAGGAACGAGACAGACACTAGAAGGTGTTGAAGGATGCCCTCATAGGAACAAGATACGATGCTCAACTCATCGATCGCCAGTTCCGACGTGCCACGGCGAAAAACCACAATGACCTCCTCAAAAGACAGATATGGGATACTTCTGATAGGGTACCCTTTGATGTCTAGTACTTCCTGGGAGCAGAGAAACGACGCCATGTTCTTTGCAGCCTTCAACACATTATCGATGACGATGAGCACCTCGCCAAAATCTTCCCCCATGCCTCCACTTCTCGCCTTCAAACAACCACCAAACCTTAGACAGACTATTGTTCGCAGCAAACTACCCAGCCTTCAGGACAACATCAACCACAACACTATACAACCCTGTCATGGTAACCTCTGCAAGACATGTCAGATCTTCGACATGGACACGACCATCACACATGGAAACACCACCCACCACGTGCACGGCAGATACTCATGTGACTCAGGCAACGTTGTCTATCTCATACGCTGCAGGCAAGGATGTCCTGAGGCATGGTATATTGGCGAGACCATGCAGACGCTACGACAACAGATGAATGGCCAAACAGGGATGCTCCCTCCCAGTGGGGGAACACTTCAGCGGTCAAGGACATTCGGCCTTGGATCTTTGGGTAAACGTCCTCCATGGTGGACTTCAGGATACTCAGCAACGCAGAGTCGCCGAGCAGAGGCTGAGAGCCAAGTTCAGTACCCATGAGGACAGCCTCAACCAGGATCTTGGGTTCACGTTGCACCACAGGTGACCCCACCTCACTATACACTGTCACACACACACAAACGAATCTGTGGGGTGAATTTATATTTGCAGATACATTGTATTTTGTTTAAAAAGCACACAATTTATAGACAGTCAGTCAATGTGACATTTTATAAATTCCTACTTTACAAATAAAACCAGTCTGACTCCAAACCAAAACACAAACAGATTCTAAACAAGGCCTCACACCTAACATGCATTGTCTGACCTAAAATGTCACCTCTTCTTTACACTGATAAAACCTTTAGTTCTCTCAGAACAGTGACTTAAAAGGAATTTGGGGATTTACATGTATATATTAATCAATTAAAACCTTCTAACTGATGAAAGATTTAACAGCATCTTAGGTTTGTTCAGTACATCCTCATCCGTGGTGTGACCCTTTGATCTTATGCTTATAAATTCTGTGTCTGATATCACCTCTCTCAGTAACGCCTGAAGAAGTAGAGAGGCTCTGAAAGCTTGGGTTTTCAAATAAACCCATTGGACTATAACC